TTGGCCTCAGGTATTTGTTTTAGTCAACAATTTAGAGGGCTAACTCTTCTTGACCACTCAGGTGTTTTAGTATACCAACTTACCGAAGTCGGCAATTACTATCAACTCATAAAACTATCAACTCATAAAACGGCACATATCACCTAGTGTCATTTAAATCGCCATTTTTCATTCATACCCCTTCTCTTTGTTCTTCATTGGCTAATGCAACAATGGGCTTTATCTACATGATTTTATTTACAATATTATCATTTGTTTTCAAATCTAGCACTAACCCATTTACATAACCTTTTGTAACTATAGTGTAAGCTATACAAGTCATAAGAGCTAGATTTATTACCCATATAAAGAATGTCACATAATGATAAATATAGTGATTCACTATTTTAAAAAGCCTCCGCATAGTCTGTCTAGATGGTACCCAGACCGCCTAACTAGCGTCTAGCGTGTAGACGGTACCTAGACTTCTCATTTAAATGTTGGAAGTGTTTAAGGGAGTATTGTCTGCTTATGTAGACTGCACCCTTTAGGCTTTGACCATGTTTTCTGTGTTGCAACTTCCACATCCTCCAATCTCCTTCAAACTCCTTTAACATCTAAATATGAACACTTCCACTATCTCCTCCGACCTTCAACAAAATCTCCTTGACCACCACTTAAATGAAAAAAAAAAAATTACCTGGACACCAGTCCGACACCTAAGCTTTCTATAATATTGACATTTATAATTAATTATTATAATTTAAAAATAAAAAAATAAAACCTCCTAGGCTCTAGGCGTCGGGTCTGACGCCTAGAATTCCTAACGCTTTCTATAACATTGTTAGTTATTATTTTGATTATTTAGTATTTAAGTATGCATGATTTATTGTGGATCTAAGATTGCTACCTTTTTTTTGGCAAATTTCTATGAATTGAATACATATTTTTATCAATTATTATAATTAAATAATTTAAAAAACAGCCAAACGTTTAGGCGCCGCCTAGGCGTACGTCTATGTGTCTCGAACGGCTAGTCCGCCTAGCGCTTTCTGTAACATTGTAGTGACTCACTCATGATATTAGTATAAAAGGTCAAACTGGGTCATGTTTTACAAGTTACTTAAGGTTATCAACATGTTAGGTAAAATGACATGTTTCTAAATCTAGCACTAACCCATTTATGTAGCCTTTTATGACTATAGTGTAAGCTATACAAGTCATAAAAACTAGATTTATTACCCATATAAAAATATTATATAATAATAAATATGGCGACTAACTCACTCATGATATTGTATAAAAGTTTAAATTTGGTCATGTTCTACAAGTTACTTAAGGTTATCAACATATTAACTCTTAAGTAAAATGACATGTTATTTAATGAAAAAAGTATTAGGTGTGGTGTCAGTAAATAAATAAATAAATAAACAAACCAATAAAAAGTTTATCGATCATTGATCCACTTTCCTCTAGAATTTCTTTTGACCTTCAAGTTTACGTGCTCTCTTCTATTTAAAAGTTATAAATCTATTCCAGTAGCGTGTGATGGAAAAGAGTGGCATTATGGGCATTGTTAATTTTTTGACGGTTAGCTGTTAGTTGTAGGCTCAAGGAGTATATAACATTACTAGGGCCAGCATGCCTTCCGCCTTGTGAGAGTTTCATCTTTGATATTTTCAATTTTCTCATTAAGTAATATTTAGAATTTAGCAATATCAAATAAAGCCACTGTAAAAATTCCCTGCAGTCTATACTAGTGGTCTATGATGCACGGATACGGATACGAGACACGGATACCACACGGATACGGGATACGGCAAAATCCAAAAAAATAGGATACCGGGATACGACAATGAATTTTTTAAAAATTATTATTATATATAGAAAAATTTATAAAATTCAACTAACAATCTAAAATATGAATCTATCACAAAATAACAATCTAATATATATTATTTGTAACTTTCTCCATCAGATTTATGATAATAATATGACGTTGGGCTGCTAGGTCAAACTGGGTCATGTTTTACAAGTTACTTAAGGTTATCAACATGTTAGGTAAAATGACATGTTTCTAAATCTAGCACTAACCCATTTATGTAGCCTTTTATGACTATAGTGTAAGCTATACAAGTCATAAAAACTAGATTTATTACCCATATAAAAATATTATATAATAATAAATATGGCGACTAACTCACTCATGATATTGTATAAAAGTTTAAATTTGGTCATGTTCTACAAGTTACTTAAGGTTATCAACATATTAACTCTTAAGTAAAATGACATGTTATTTAATGAAAAAAGTATTAGGTGTGGTGTCAGTAAATAAATAAATAAATAAACAAACCAATAAAAAGTTTATCGATCATTGATCCACTTTCCTCTAGAATTTCTTTTGACCTTCAAGTTTACGTGCTCTCTTCTATTTAAAAGTTATAAATCTATTCCAGTAGCGTGTGATGGAAAAGAGTGGCATTATGGGCATTGTTAATTTTTTGACGGTTAGCTGTTAGTTGTAGGCTCAAGGAGTATATAACATTACTAGGGCCAGCATGCCTTCCGCCTTGTGAGAGTTTCATCTTTGATATTTTCAATTTTCTCATTAAGTAATATTTAGAATTTAGCAATATCAAATAAAGCCACTGTAAAAATTCCCTGCAGTCTATACTAGTGGTCTATGATGCACGGATACGGATACGAGACACGGATACCACACGGATACGGGATACGGCAAAATCCAAAAAAATAGGATACCGGGATACGACAATGAATTTTTTAAAAATTATTATTATATATAGAAAAATTTATAAAATTCAACTAACAATCTAAAATATGAATCTATCACAAAATAACAATCTAATATATATTATTTGTAACTTTCTCCATCAGATTTATGATAATAATATGACGTTGGGCTGCTGCTCGAACTAAAAAACTGGAGGAGATGATGATGATAGTGGAGGAATGGAGGGTGGACTTGAGGAGTCGAAGGAAGGAGTCGGTCAGCGGGATCAGGTCGGAATAGCGGAGGTGATCGAATCGAACGAGAGTGAGCTAAGAGATTGAGAGAGAGGATTAGGGTTAGGGTTTTGGTTTTTTCTTTTTTCTTTCGTTTGAGTCAGCTGAGGATCGAATTGAACGGGAGATTTAAGAAATAAAGATGGGTTTTTTAATCGAACGGTTCGGGTTAGATTTTAACAACCAAACCCGCAACCCGAATGAATCGGCCTTCGGCGAATCCGAGCTGTGTCCGAGCTCCTTTGACCGTGTCCGAACCTAATTTGACCGTTGACCCGTGTCAGATACGGATTGACCGTGCTTGACACGTGTCGTGCACGTATCGTGACGAATCCGTGTCCGATTCGAGTCGGACACAGATTCGTGGCCTCCGGGGGCGAATCCGTGCTTCAGAGCTAGTGGTTGACAGTTCATATTAGTATTGGCCACTGATACTTATGGAAGGTAGTTTATAAACACACATCTAATAACAGTCTATTAGAAGGAAGATGTCTGTCTGGTTAAAATTTTCACATTAACTAGAATCAAAAGTTGATGAATCTCATGAATTAGGTGTAAAGGCTGCCTGGAGTAGGCAATGCTTTTATAATGAAGAGCAGTGCAATACCATTGAAACGGACAATCTCTCTACCTGTTCATTAAGCATATGTCTCTATCAGTACCCTTGATCTTCTTCTTTGGTGTCTTTTTCCTCTGTAGCATCATTCAGAGTCTGGCACTCGCCCAAATTACAGAATTTTAAGTATAAAAATTGTTTAAACTTACACGTGGACACCCTCTTATGTTTGGTCTACTAGTTTTCTAATTTGTATTGACAAAATTTTAAGCTACTTTGAACTGTTGGGAAGAGTATTTCCCTGAACGGTTACATTCTCTAGTGCAAAGTGAATGCACTTTGTGACTATATCTATGCTATCAGTTTATACAATACTATATTGTATGTGGGCCAGCAAAGTGCTGAAAATCTCCTCACTTCCCCCATTTTTATCAGGTAAAAATGATTATGGCAACAAATCGTCCTGATGTTCTGGACCCAGCCCTTCTTAGGCCAGGCCGGTTAGACAGGAAAATTGAGATTCCATTACCAAATGAGCAATCAAGAATGGAGATTCTCAAAATTCATGCTGCTGGTATAGCCAAGCATGGCGAGATAGATTATGAAGCAGTAGTGAAGCTTGCTGAGGTAAGTGTGCCCTCTGTCATGGACGACCTGAATTTTGTCATAATAGTAAGTTGTTTTGTTCAAGTAGTTATCTTACTACTTATTCCTTTATTCAGGGCTTTAATGGAGCTGATCTTCGTAACGTCTGCACAGAAGCTGGCATGTCAGCAATTCGGGCAGAAAGGGACTATGTGATACACGAGGATTTCATGAAGGTAAATTATATTTGAATTAGTAGTCACTGCTTAAGCAAAATTAAGTTCACATTTTCTCTTCACAATTGATTGCTTACACTTGATTGGAAGCTAAACCTAACTCATGTAATGGTGGGACTGCTGACTCTCCATCCGTGAACTGTGGCACTATTAGTTGAATCCTGTCTCCAAATCTGTGCGTTTACTTGGTGCACCAAGGACCCCAATCTGTTAGGGGTTCTCTGGTCCAAAATAAACTTGTTATTGTCCAGTCACAATTCTATCCTTTTGGGTCTTTACCTAGATCTAGATTTAGACTTAAAGTAAGTGTTCTAATATTTTTGAACAAAAATTGTCTGCATTTTTAAAGAGGTAGATTGTCACTGGGTATGTACACTGTTATACTCAGTTACACTTTGTGAAGTGACGAGTGATAGACTGCCCAGTGTGTGTCGCAAAGTTCGACTAGAATTGTCTTCCTCCTGGAGATGTTAAGACATAACATGATACTTAAGGTGCAGTGCAGGCTTTCTTTGATGCTTTGGCTTTCTTACGTTCTGGAGGTTATATATTTAAAATACTTTATGAACAGATGTTGAGCACATCTGGTGTTTATATACCATTAGTTGATGTATATAGGCATTTACATTTGCATGGACCACCATGTAGCATATTTTGGTTTAAATCTCGTGTAGACAATCTAGGTGGACTGAGACTGTAATTTTCAAATTACTTTTATGAGTTATTGTCGTGTTTAGGTACCTGAAAACTAGTATGAGCCCAAATTGCTCTTTATGAATTATTTCCCTGTTTGACGTTACCCTGAGTAGGAGTGTCAATGACTGGACAAGTTTCCGTGCATTTTCGTCTCCAAACCTGAAATGCTGGATAGAAGTTTTTATAGGAGTAAAAGCTGTCCTTCAGCTTTTGTACCCAAATCTGAAATACTAGGTAGAATTTTTTATAGGAGTAAACGCTGTCCGTAGGTCTTGGACAGGTTCAGTTTAGTTTCGAATTCCAGTTTTATACATTTCAATAATGTGTATTTCAGCATTTCATAAGAAACAAATATATTTAGGTAATATTTTTAAAATACTCGTTAGTGAACACTATCGCAAAAAAAAAAGAAAAAGAAAAAAAGCTAAAGTACACTACCACCAAGTGTCAAATTATTTAGTTAATTATTTGTTAAATGCATGCATTATGTAATTGTGATCGGTTACCAGACGGGTTCAATTTTTTGGGTTCAGGTCTAGTCCAAATTAAAAAAGAAGAAGAAAGAAACCCAACTGTGAGATGAGGTTTTTGTGTAGGGTTTAAATCTTTAAGAAGTCCTTTTTCCCTGCTTGGATTGGTCAGGTTTTGGGTCTAACCCAATCCATATGACACTCGAATCACGAGGAATTACTGCTTGAGCAGCAGGAGGAGGCATATGCAAGTATGCATTTTGTGAAACTGTTTATATAGTTTAATACACGCAATTTCTTTGACACTTGTGTATCTTGTTAGTTCAATACTTTACTTTTTACTGTTTTTGTGACTACAATTTGTGCGGTTGCTGTGTTAGGCTGTTCGAAAACTGAATGAAGCGAAGAAGCTCGAGTCCACTGCTCACTACAGCGCTGATTTCGGAAAGGAGTAGAAGAACCATTATGATGGAGTATTCAGTTCATTCTCTTGGGGTTTACACTTGGCGAAAGCTGACTGGACTTGGAATTTCTCGCGCGTCCAGTAAACCGGCATGCGATCTTGTTTACTTGTAAAACAATATTTAATTAGCCAAGGATAAGTTTATTTGAGAAATGAGTAATATGAGTTTATCTTTGAGGATCTGTTATGTTAAGACTATACCACTAACTGTTTAAATGAAAGGGCTTGGAAAATACTTCTCGAGTCAGATGTTGCCTTTGTCCATCAGAGAGATGTTGCCTGTATTCTGTTCCTTTCTTTATTTACATTGTAGCTTTAAGCCCCCCATGTTTACTTTTGTGGTCTCTTGACACTATTATTATTATTATTATTATTATTGATACTCCAGTGAGGAGTCGACTCTAAAGAGTGTGGGAGTCAAATTGAAACCTCTCAGTCATCTGAATCAAATCATGTTTCTAAACTCAGTCTTCAATATCAATTCCCAAAAATGCTTTTGTTATTGCTGTAAAAAATCACTCACAGGAAATTATAATTAGTCGTTCAAGCTTTTGGATTGTGATTCAAAGGAACTTTTTTGGATTGTGATTCAAAGGAACTTTTGGATTGTGATACGAAGGATTCGCTTTACAGATGATCCTGCTTCTAAATTTTTTTAGTTACATAATTAGATGGATAAATGTGAAAAGTCCAAGTTGTTGATTACTTTTACACTATTTTTGAATGATATACTGATTATTAAAAAAAATTACATTGGGAGCCTTACTTTTCAAATTCCAATCCAGAAACACCTCAATCTTTTTAGTCTAACTTAAAAAACCTTTAAACAAGCCCCCTTAACCTATATTAAGACAATATGAAAAAAACATAGGAAAAAGAGAGAAATATTGTCTTAATATTCATGTTAAAATATTTCTCTCTTTTTCCTATGTTTTTTTCATATTGTCTTAACATGCTCATCATACAGTACTTTTTGTAATTAATGTCATTTTAGTAATTTTAGTATAGTACTATAAGTTCCCTTACGCTTTATATATTTGTTTTCCATAGATCTCTTGTCTGTGACTTGTAAAGGAACTTGAGTATGTTGCATACACATAGATCCTTCTATGTGTTGTTTTATTTTTCTGGTAGTGTCTACCAAATTTACCCCTTGATGCATAGGTTCCTCCTCATAAATGATAGTAGATAGTTATACATAAACGGCTTTAGTCTTGTGAGTTTGTTTTTCATCGGATTTTAGTCATATCACCCATGACTTAGTTTAAGTCCAGTGTGAGTTAAAACCAGATTAGACATGATAATATAACATTCTAGCGATTTGGTCCTTTGCATTTGTTTCCACTTTCGTTTTGGGATAGTGTGTGTGCTTTAGTAGAAATAGCTTAAAGGTTGACACGAACGATCAGAAGTTTGTGCAGGAGCACACAAAGACATTAAAATATATAAGAGCGAATGATGGGTGATAATCTTAATATATGTCAGTAATGGAGGGACTTCATCAGTTTATTGAGGCTAAAAATTGTTTAGATCATAATGAATAAAGCATTGGTCTCTTCGTGTTAGATCTACCAAAAATGCTAGAGTAATAAGTGTTTAGATCATAATGAATAAAGCATTGGTCTCTTCGTGTTAGATCTACCAAAAATGCTAGAGTAATAAAGATAATATTTATATGGAATAAAGCATTGGTCTCTTCGTGTTAGATCTACCAAAAATGCTAGAGTAATAAAGATAATATTTATATGAGTTGTTTCATGTCGCTTACTTGTTGGCGTAGGTTTTGGACTTTTTTCGGTTCTAACAAGTGCTCAGCAGGCCAATATATGTATAGTGCTCATAAGTGCTCATATGTGCAGTTGGTGTATTGTAGTGGTCCATAGAGATGATGTTAAGTATCAAAAGGGGGTTTAAGCTAAGATAAGAATTTTCTCTCTCTTTATTGGAAGTAGAACATAGATGATATTGGATATTGGAAAGGGATTTAAATTAAGATGAGAAGTTTCTTACCCTTTATGTTCAATAATTTGGAGTCCTACTAGCAGAATGAGTATTTGCTAGGTCTGTTGTACAAGCAAAGGTTTAATATTTTTTTCCCACATATAGATGCTTGACAATACAAATTATAGTTGTAAATAATTTACATACCTGTAGAGTTGCATACTACTATGAATTGACCGACATATAACAGATCTCTTGCCTTTGTTCGTCTAAAGGATATGCAATGAATACAAAATGTAGAAGACGTGAACATTGATGGAGATGCTTTCAATATTTATATTCACTTAGTGCATTGTAAAGAATGAAATTGGTTATAATTGGTGTACCAAATTAATGGTATTCACTAGCGTTGAACAATCACACTGAGAGAGCCCTCATATTATGATCCATGTTCTTGAGATGGATGAGAACTTACATGTGAAATATGGAACGAGTACATTTTTTTTATGAAACTTGAGGCTATTTTAATTCGAGAATAATACAAGAGAATATTATTTGAGATGGTTTGGATTGATTAAAAAGAATGATAGTTTTATCTTGGAAGGAGGTGCTGGAACTTCGGTCCAAGAAAGATGAACATGACGAGAAAGTGCTCAACTAATTATTTGCAGTCCCATTCGTATTATTGATTTGATCAGTAGCCCTTACCTTCCTCTCAATTAGCCTCTCAATTGGAATACCAAGTCTAGCCCCTTGAGTGTACTTGTCATTTAGTTGCTAATTTAACAATAAATATGACTCTAAATAGAAAGCTTAAAGAAGAACATATGCGACTCCAGTTTCATGATGTAACGGTTTTATTGCTGCTTTACTTATTATTCTACCCTTTGCTCTATCTTTGTCTCTATCTCACCTTACCAAGTTAGGTACTCTCTCAACAGAAGGCAATAATATTCGGTGGATTTTCCATGATATTTTAAAATAGATATTGTTTGATCTCTTGATGGTTATTGGATAACCTGAGCATATGGTATTATGATTGCATATGTACAAACTTCAAGATCCTTGTCTGATCACGTAGTCACTTCTTTTAGGTGGGCTGAGCATGAATAGATATCTTGATCAGAAGCATGATCTAGTGGTATTGACCATATGATGCATGAATTATTGATTTGTACTTGTTATGAACTCATGAGTTTAGAACAATTCACATTTTTCGGGATATTGTGCCATAGGGACTCAAGTGCGTAAATAGGCAAGACTTATCAGGTATTGATAATGGAGTTTACCAGAATTATCATAATTAGATTAAAACCCAGTTTATACACATAGTACTTATCTTATTTGATACTGTGTTTGACATGCATGACTTTATAGAAATTTGTTGCTTGATCACATAGTGTCATCCAATAGGAGAGACTGTGCATGAAGATGACTTCTATTAAAAATATGATTTATAAGTGTGTTTTCATAGCATGGCTATGCTCTCGATATCGATATCCCGATACGAGATTTTTCCTTAGCTATTACTATTATAGCATCGACTAGACGATGCACCCCTCTTGATTGGACATGTTCTGGGTCGTGGTTATTTTTTATAGTTTTACAGAAGTCATTTCACGATAATTCTGTGGTTAGTGCATAATATTTCATGCACAATCACTTAAAAATTAAACTGACAAACATGAGGTTTATAAAGGGGAATTAGATGAAGAATATAACATGTATATAAATGAGCACATGCGCATTCCTGATATCTTGAATTATATATACATAGGGCCAAAGGGCCAATACTTGACTTGAAGCTGTGTTCCCGGGACAGTTTATGGGAAACCGATTTATATACATGAAAATATTCTTCTCTAATTCAAATAACATGTAAAATAAGAATAATGTGTTTATATGCTTTGTGATAGATTTGGCATGCATAGCATGACTGGGATGAAGTATTGGTGGTGTATATTTATATTGTTTGTTTATAGAATTTTAGAAGTTGATATTTAGAGATTTACAATTTGAGATATATGGTATATACGAGGGTTTCCTTGTTTGGATTATTCACTCGATGTACTCATCTCGTGTTGTGGGTTTCTAAATCTAAACTCCTTTTAATATAGGGTATAAGATATGTGCTTTATGGTAGACTTTGTTTGATATCCATGTTTAGAAATTCCTTTATTCATCTTTAATTGAGTTTCCAACTTTTCTATATACCTTCCACATACACTTACATGCGCACAATTTCCTCATTTTATATGCTTGCTGGGAGTTTTCTGACTCTCTTGGGGTTTGCATGCCCCAGACTCGAAAATTGTTCTTCCTTCGAAGGACCAAGAGTACTTTAAGGATTAAGACCAGCGATAGTGATCACCTTCTCTCCCTTCACTCTCTCAGCTTCAGTTTATTTAGGTAGTTATTTGTTTTAAGACTTTTTCTATAATCACCTGTGATTTTTCAGACTACGATGTATTTTCCTCTTTCCCATTTTGGATAGCTGTGGACTTGTTGTAGAACTTTGTAATTACCGAGATTTCTTTACTTATCTATTTTCTTTGACTTAGTTACATGCTCTATGTAGTAGTTCTTTAGCATATATATCTATGTATAGGATGATTCAAAGGCGTGAATGTGACCGTATGGTTGCATTGTTGGCCGAGTCATACTCCAAATGATCAAAAATTAGAACCAGGGCATGACAAAATCACTCAAACTCACCAATTAATCTCACAAACAAAGCTCTCAATCTCTCAAACAAAACCCTAACCAATAGCTCCAGAAAAAATTCTTTTCTGTGCTCCAAAAATCCCCAATACTGCTCTCCCCAAAAATCCTAAAACGTGTTTAGGATTATATATCAACATAAAACAAAATGGGTCAAAAAATAAAACCCAGGCTCAGACCCGACTGGCGGTTGACCGCAGAACTCATCGCGGTCGACCGAACAGGTCGACAGAAACATAAAATCGATTACAGGGTTTGACGGTACCGCTACCAACTCCAGAGCCTCAGAATCTATTATATGGTTTGGCGGTCGACCGAACGTCACCAAAATAGTTCCATGCTTCCAAAATTCTTGTTCTTCTCCAATTTCTTCGCCAATGTTACATGACGACATGAAAACAGCAGTGGAAGAGGATGAAAGAAGATGAGAGAGGTTGAATGTGAGAAAGAAAAAGAGAGACGATAGAGGTTGAAGATAAGAGAAGAGGAAAGAGATGAGAGAGATTGAAGATGAGATTACAAGAGAGGGATGAAAGAGGTTCATGTGTTCATGAAAGAAATGAGAAAGAAAAACAAAGGGGGAAAAAGAAAAATAAATAAATAAAAAAGGAGAGCGTATTTTTGGAACACTTCAAAAGTTCATATAGATTAGGGTTCTTTTGAAATGTTTTTGGTCAAAAGCTTTTTTAATTAGCTCCAAAAAGTTAAGATGTTTTTTTATTGGCCCTGTTTGGTTGAAAAAAAAAGTGCGAGAAATGTTTATGAAAATATATTTGTAGCTATTATTTCTTTTTTGTTGTTTGTTTTGCGGAAAAAAAAAACTTTGGTTCTCCACAGACTCGTCTAAATTTTACTGAAAGTCCGATTTCTTAAACGTACTGTCTAGAATGATGGACAACATAGCAAACATAAATCCGATAGTTTCAATCCCGATATGTCAGATTTTCAATATCTAGAATACTAAGATTAATTCTAACAAAACAAGATTATCAACATATCAAGTGGACTACATCGAATAATCTACAGAAATATATGGAATGACTAGTACCATGAGTCTAGTAACAAGAAATAAGGAATGATCTTATACCATGAGTGAAGAATGATCTGCACATGCCATGAGTGAAGATTCTATCAGAAAAAGAAATATGAGATAATCTATATCCCGAGTGAAGATTCTATCATGCATAGAATGGAAATGGGACCATGCATCTATTGGGATGATTCGAAGGATCAATTTGGGAGTACATCAATTTGAGAGTACATATCCTATCTTTTAGTTCTCAAATCAAGAATTTCTGCTACCTTTCTAGGTTGCTACCATAAAAGCAAATTTTGTATCAACTTAATTTTGTTGTGACTGATGCTTTGAGAAACCAAACCAACGAACGCCGAGAGAAAGACCAAACAAAACACAAACACCAAGGTTTTACGTGGTTCGGCAAATTGCCTACGTCCACGGGGCAAGAAGGGGGTGAGTTTTCACTAATAGAGAAGGAGAGTACAAATTGAGATTACAAATCGCTCAAACGAACCAACTAATCTCACCAACAAATCTCTCAATCTCTCAACCAATAACCCTAACAAATAGCTCAGAAAGATCTCTCTTTTTCTGTGCTCCAAAACCCCAAAACTCTCCTCACAAAACCCTCAAATCGTATTGGTATTTATACCAAAATAGAAACCCAAACAGACTGCAAATAGGAACCTGAACTTTCCAAAAAACCCGTCATAAGTCGACTTATCAGTCTGCATAAGTCGACTTGGCAGAGCGAAAAACAGCAACTGGAGAAGAGATCATAAGTCGATTTATCAGACCTGATAAGTCGACTTGGCAGAGCAAAAAACCAACAATCCAGAGCAGAACGTAAGTCGACTCATGCACCAACATAAGTCGACTTACCATAAGTCGACTTATGCCTGTGCATGAGTCGACTTATGACCAAAAATCTGCTTTTTCCAATTCTTCTCCACAATTCTCCACCTCGGCGAAGTTTTCCCAAAACTGAGCCAACACCAACCAAACAAATGCCTCACATGCTGAGACCCAAATGAGAGTGCGAACACTCACCCCAAATGTCGATGTCGCTCACCAAATCGGCTGCATCAAAATGACTGCCTACGTATCCTTTGCCCAAGGAATCAAGCCTTCACGTAGTTCACCCAAACGGCCTCCAAAGGCCCTCAATCAAATAGAAAAGTCTGCAACTCTTCTCCAATATCACCAAACGATCTGCAACTGATAGTATTCCCAATGACCCCAAATTGAGACAAATCAAACACCTCCACCTGAGGTAAACCAATGGCCATATCCAAACTATATCTACCAGCTGCAACTGAATCCAAAACCAATCCATCATCTGCATCCAAAACCAAATGATCTCCAACCTGTGTCACCTTAGCTGGAATCCCAAATGACGCAGTATGATCTGGAGTATGTGGAGTAATCTCCACCCAACGTGGAGTAGCATCACTCTCCACCTGCTGCGATATCCAAATGACCTGATCAACACTCTCCACCTGCCGAGAGTCAAAAGTGACATACCTGCTCAGAACAAAATCAGAAGCTCCCAAACGATAATCAACTGAGCCTCCGAACCCCAAACGCGCAATCGGATCCAATCTCACATCCACGATGTGACCAAATGCTGGGTATCCAAATATCCGACGCGACCCAAAATCTGAAGCAGCTCCACCAGATCTAATAACTCCTAAAGCAGCAGTCGGCGACCTATGCATAAGATGACCCAAATATGTCGAAGCCCGCACACCAATGCCAATGCTCGACATCAAACGCCGATCCTCCTCCAGAAAGGAACGACCCATCGAAACTGTCATCTCATCTCGTCGCCCCAAAGTCTCCACACCAATGAAGTGTCTCCTATTGCCGTGAGCTCGGCACCAACGCAAGAAAGGACCCCTACCAAAGCTGAAACAATGAGTTACCTTTCTGCCAATACACTTCTTCCAATTGTTGTTGACTTCTAGGACTTTACACCAACGGGAACTGGTCGCGACCCAATAATGCCTAGAACAATCACCAACTGTGGAAACCAAGATACGATTACCTCCCAATGATGCCTCCTTGGAAGGCCCCCAAATGCCTGACTGAACACCTCCAAAAAGACCCCTCGCTCGATGGATAGAAGTGCCAAACTCCACCACGGTCTCGCTCATCCTAATGTGCTCACAGGACTTCAATCTGCAGGTCATAGCACTCCTCAACAACCAATGCACGGTATTACCAATCATATACCCCAGCACCAAACAATGCCACAGTCTAGCCGAATCTGATGAAGTCGTCATTTCCCTATCAATCACCGTGCTTCCGTGCAAATAATACAAATTTCTTCTTCTGACGCCCTTCATCACAATCATGGACCCAAATGTAACCTTCAAGCGTGCATCCGCCAAGGTCACCCTATAGCCAGCTGCCTCCAAAGCTCCAAGTGAAATGATGTTCTTCTTCAACTGAGGAACGAACCTCACTCCAACCAACTCCCGAATCACCCCGTCACTCATCCTGATCCGAACAGTACCAATACCACCAATAGAGCATTTGTGATCATTCCCCATGAGCACGAAATCCCCTCTTTCCAACTCCTGAAAGCTGGAGAACCAATCCCTCCTAGGGCAAATGTGGTATGTAGCACCCGAATCCAATATCCACTCTGTAGAGTAGGCAACACAAACTGACGGCAGTGCAGATAACGAGTAGCCCGAAGAATCCGAATCTGAATCGTTGCCACTAGCCTTGACAACATTCGCCTCTGAAGCTTGAATAGCTTTTCCCTTATTCTTCCCGGCTCGATCAACTAACTTTGGGCAATCGGCTTTCCAATGTCCATCTTCTTTGCAAAAGGCACATTGATTCTTACGAACTCCAAGATGTGCCCCTCTAGACTGCGACCTCCCACTACGGTTTGGACCCTTTGCTCTTGCGACCAACGCCCCCGCTACCGGCTCAAACGAAGTCTCCTTATCCTTCTTTCGAAGCTGATAATTCACAAGTGCAGCGGTGACCTCACTATACGAAAGAGATGCCTTCCCATTAATAAGAGTAAGAACGAATGTCTCATATTCCTCGTCGGGCAAGGAACTCAACAACAACAACGCCTTGTCCTCATCTTCAATCACCACATCTACATTCGTCAAATCCGCAAGAAGCTTCGTGTAGTGGTTCATGTGATCACCAATGGAGGTTCCTTTCTTCAACTGGAAGCGGTAAAGCCTCCTCTTCAAATGCAAGCGATTCTCCACACTCTTGGTCAAATACTTGCTCTCAAGGATCTCCCAAATCTTCTTTGCAGAAGTCTCATTGATCACATCATACTTTAGATCTTGAGTGAGACAAGACCTAATCACACCACACGCCGTTCGATTCATCTTTTTCCAAACCTTCTCATCAATGTTGTCCGGTTTCCCGTCCAACTCCAACGTATCTTCCAAATTTTGCGCGTTGAGCGCATCCATGACTTCGCATCGCCAAAGTCCAAAATTGTTTGTGCCATTGAACTTTTCCACATCAATCTTCATTGAGTGGATATTCAAGCTTTGGACGGTCTTCACGCCGGAAGTACTGCCCACAACTCCTTCTTTCTCGGCCATATTTATGCTCGTATGTTTGTATTGCAATGAGATACAGAAAGAACTTCTGGAGGATCCTGACCAATACTGTAATAGTTGAGAAAATTCACGCGAAAGGGCGATGGAATTTTCTTCTGGTTCTTATACCTTGTTGTGGCCGATGCTTTGAGAAACCAAACCAACGAACGCCGAGAGAAAGACCAAACAAAACACAAACACCAAGGTTTTACGTGGTTCGGCAAATTGCCTACGTCCACGGGGCAAGAAGGGGGTGGGTTTTCACTAATAGAGAAGGAGAGTACAAATTGAGATTACAGGTTCGTTGATTTAGTGAAATCTCCCCATCCTCTCCCCGTGGACGTAGGCAAATTGCCGAACCACGTATATCTCTGTGTTTGGATTGATTTGGCTTTATTGGTTAGATTTGTGCAAGAGTTTGTCTTTCTTCTACTCGTGATCACAGGTTCGTTGTGAGTTCGTGCAAGGCTTCCGCAAAGGCGCGCGACAAATTTATGGGGATACTTCTCAAGTTCTGATAAGATTCCTACTACCTTTACTAGGTTGCTACCATAAAAGCAAATTTTGCATTACCTATTCGTCAACAAGGTACGTAACGATACCAATCCTCACAAACATAAATACACACCTAACAATTTCATGGAACTACATACACGCGGACGCAAAGTAACTGCCCACTCCTTATTTAATTAGCTAGCTAGGTGAACATAGACCACACAACTTGCTAGTTTATACATATGCAGCTAGCAACATCACAAACTAAGCTTGTGAGTGATAAGTTTAGTGACGGCCAGGGAGCTTCTCCTTGATCTTCTCCATCATCCCCTTCCTCTCCGGCTCTTGGTATCCCGTTGTTGTGGTGCCTCCTCCGTAGCCGGTGGTGCCGGTGGCCTGGCCGTGCTCATACCCGTGCTCTTCGGTCTTGTGACCGCCGGGGAGCTTCTCCTTGATCTTCTCCTTAAGTCCCTTCTTCTTCCTCCTCCCTCCCATTCCATCATCCTCCGACTGCAAATGGTGAATAAATAATAAATGAATAAATCCAAATTTGGAGTATTTAGCACATGATACATTAACATTATAGCTTGCTACTCCAGAAAGTAAATAAATACAAATAAATAAATCCAAATTTGGAGTATTCAGCACGTACATTAATATTATTAATATTTAGTACGTGCTAGTTCACAAACCTTTAATGTCCTCTCAGTAATTTGGAAATTAAAGTCACAAAATTTTACGATTGGGCAGAACGTTTTTTTTTTTCGAATTTTTTATTATAAATATCCAACTCACAAAAATAATCGAAAAGATCTTGTTCAACTTTATAATGCTTTTAAATTTTCACTCTGCTAAACCACAAGTAGGTTATGTAAAAATCATAGACTATTAATGTGTATAATACTTTTAAATACATACCGAATACGTTTTAGCGTTTGAGAATAACTAACTTTAGTTTACGGAAAAGGAAGGGTTCAGTAAAGAGGGTCCATGACATATAATATCAAATGTACATCTAATGAATATAATTTTAGAGCGCGAATTGTAAGATTAAATGGTTGAAGAGCAAACATTCATTAGCGCATATCTAGTACCATATCCCAGGATGTATTTAATATTTTTCTTGTGTACAGTACTCACAGAGCTGGAGCTAGAGCTACCGGAGCGGTGCAGTATACCGCCACCACGGTGCTCTTCCTTGGTAGCGTGCATCATCTGCCCCTGTCCACCACCTGTCCCTGTAGTCCCGTATCCTGCGGCTGTCTGTGTGCCACCTGTCCCGGTAGTACCGTACGCTCCCGTGGTCCCGTGACCATATCCTCCTCCTGTGGCCCCACTCGTTATCGGGTTTCCGTACTCGTCCGTCTGGATCGGGTTCCCGTACTCATCCATCCTCCCGACCCGATTCCCGTACTGGTCCCTCATATCCATCTTTAGATTTTTTTTTTCCCCTTTCTTTCTTTTGCCCCTTTCGTTATGAGATGGGATGAGGTGCATGGGCGGGGGGTTGTGAGTTTATATAGAGAGGGAATGGGGGCGGTGACAGTAAGGGGGGTGACGGCACGCGAGAGATGTACGATTGCATGGGGTTGACACGTGTGAGGGAGATGGGACACGCGGGGGCGGGGGGCCGGGGCGTTGTCTGCGTTATGTGTTATCTGGTCAACGTTGTCGCTAAAATGGAGGAGATTAGCGTTAGAAAAAGGTTTTAGGATGTGGATTAGCAGGGTGTTGACACGTGGGGAGGACACATGGAAGGAGGTGATGGAGTTGAGCCCCACGTGTGATGTTGAACATGCATGCGGTGTAAAATCCCCTGTTCATTTAAAAAATGGAATTGTTGACAATTGTCGTCACATGAACCCGTTCCCTTCATTTTTCAGAAATTAAATTAATACGTTTATCTAAGGATAAACTAAAGCAAGAAGCTAATTAATATTCGATTTCTCGAAGACAAAACATTCTGCCAACATGAATTGACTTAATTTGTTTCTCTAGTTCTTTATTACTCGTGAGTAGCGCGGGACAAGTATTCTATAGTTATTTTAATTTAATAACGGACAAATTGTTTGAAAGGATAATTTTTAGAATTCTAATTAGCAAAATCCTGTTGGAAATATTAACTGTTTAGACAATAACGAAAATTAGTTTAAGCAATTTAATAATTAACAGATAATCACTATTATAACACAGATATAAGAAATATATCAAATGAAAAAGAAACAGAGTTAGAAATACGGCCTGATGGTCGAGGCGTGCAAGCACTGTCCCAAGAAACTAATTGCCCCCTCTCGTACAGGGCTACGCGGCAAAAGTCCCCGGAGATACAACGACCCTCGGTCAGGCGACCTCCTTCTCGTCGGCATGAGCTTCAAGAAGGCTTTGTGAATTCTTCGTGACTTTCAGGGAACCAACAAAAATATAACAGTAATATGAAGAGGAATGACAGAGAAGAAGAGAGAATACGTTGTGTTTTTCACACTGTCTCAAACTCTTCAGATTTAGGTCCTTTTATAGGCTTAAAACATCTGTTACTCATAAATCCGCAATTAATTTATTTTAATTACAGATTTTAATTCTCATAAAAACTATTTTCCATTTTGATTCTGATTTAAATCTCATGAATATTACCGTTTCAAAATCTAATTCTCTTAACCGTTACAAAACGTTTATCACATGTTAATTGTTCAAAAATAAATATTACATTTTAATTATTCAAAAATAAAAATATATCAGATTAAAGGCCCATTAATCCGGAGCGGCATTCGTGTCTGCAGGTCGTGTGCGCGCGCCACCCGACCCGACCCGAACCCGAGCCCGAGCCCGGCCCGGCCGGCGCGCGCGTGTGTGGTGTGGAGCATAACCTTTGTTTTCTTCTAGGCATAGGAGAGAAAGGGAAGGCTTATAAAGAGCCTATCTTCCCATCTTTTTTCCAATGTGGGACTAAAGTTTTCTTCTTTTCCTCTACAAACCCAAGTTTTAAGTTACAACTCCAACAATCCCCCACATAACTTAAAACTTAGAATAATTCAGAAATAAAAATAATATAAAAACAAATAAATAAGATTGCTGGTTCCCTTATACTATGTAATAGGTGGAGATACCTTTCGGTTTGAACCTTCACTTAGTGACAATTATATAGATCCGTGAGAGCTTGGTGGACTTCGCCTTGAACCAGTCCCATTTATCGGATTTCTACAGAAAGCACACATAGTACAGTTTTGAAGAATTCTAAACGGGTTGCGCTATTATCGGCCTTGCGCAGGTATCTTTCATGTGTGTTACTAGGGAGCAGCCCTGATCCCATAGTCGCGGCCTCACAACTACACACATATAGGTGAATCCTAATAAGGATGCGAGCAAGTAAGCATCCTGCCTCATGGGTCTTGGATTCATTAAGAGTTAGACTCAACCTTTCACTTGCTTTTTATGAGCACTGATCACCCTAGGGATGGGAGCAAATGAATTCAGTGCTCCTCACAATTAATCACTCATTCAGTTTGTTTCTACCCATTGAACCTCTGCGAGGTTGGGTTGCCACTGCAGTGATTTTTCTTATGGGCTTAACCCCATCCCCCTCGATGATTCTAGGACCACTGCCCTAGATAAGCCTTTAGTTAAGTGATCTGCAAGATTTTTCTCTGATCTTACAAAATCTAAGGCTATTATATGGTTTTTCATCTTATATCTCAAGGATTTATGTCGCACTTTCAAGTGTCGATTCATCTTCACATTTGCATTCTCTTGATGGCATTTGTCAATCGCTGACCTGCAATCACAATGAATAGAAATAGCTGGTAATGGTTTTTGCATTAGTGGAATTTCAGTTAGTAAATCTTTCAACCATTCAGCTTCTATACTAGTAGTATCAAGAGCTATCATTTCTGATTCCATTGTACTTCTAGCCATTACAGTTTGTTTAGTAGATTTCCAGGACACAGCTCCTCCTCCTAAAAGGAACACAAATCCTGTGGTGGATTTTACATCTACTGAGTCACTAATCCAATTTGCATCTGAATAACCTTCTAGTACAGATGGATAACCTTTATAGTGTAAACCATAATTTATAGTTCCTTTTAGGTATCTCAAAATTCTTTCTAAAGCATCCCAGTGACTCTTATCAGGATTTGATGTATATCTACTAAGTCTATTTACTGCATAAGCAATGTCAGGTCTGGTGTAGTTTGTTAGGAATCCTAATGATCCAATTATTTGTGCATATTCTCTTTGTAATTGAGGATGACCTGTATTTTTCTTTAGATGTACATTAGGATCATATGGAGTGGAAACAGGTTGACAGTTTGGATCATAAAAATTCTTGAGGATTTTTTCTATGTAATGTGATTGTGATAGCACATATCCATTCTCATTTTTCATGATTTTAGTATTAAGAATTAGGTCAGCTTGACCTAAATCTTTCATGTCAAAATTTTGTGATAAAAAGTGTTTGATATCATTTATGATTTGTATGTCAGAACCAAAAATAAGAATGTCATCAACATATAGGCATAATATCACAATTTTGTTGTTTTTATCTATTTTATGGTATACACACTCATCTGTTTGATTAATTACAAATCCATAAGATAGTATAATTTCATCAAATTTCATATGCCATTGTTTTGGGGCTTGTTTGAGACCATATAGTGATCTAATAAGCTTGCATACTTTCTTTTCTTGTCCAGAAGCTATAAATCCCTCAGGTTGATCCATATAAATTTCTTCATCTAAGTCTCCATTTAAAAATGCAGTTTTAACATCCATTTGATGTATTATTAATTTGTGAATGGATGCTAGAGCTATGAGGACTCTAATGGTAGTAATCCTAGCTACTGGAGAATAGACATCAAAATAATCAATACCAGACTTTTGGGTATATCCTTTAGCTACTAATCTGGCTTTATATTTATCTATTGTTCCATCAGGTCTAAGTTTCTTCTTAAACACCCATTTACATCCTATGGTTTTACATCCTGAAGGAAGATCAGTTAGTTCCCAAGTATGATTTTGAACTATAGATTGTATCTCATTATTTATAGCTTCCTTCCAAAATGGAGCATCTACTGATTTCATTGCATCTTCAAATGTAACTGGAGAATCTTCTACAAGTAATGCATAGAAATCTTCATGGACCTTTTCTATTCTAGTTCTTTTACTTCTCCTAGGCTCCTCTGGACTTTCTAGTGGTCTAATTTGTTTAGAACTAGTTTCACCTTGATTAGAACTAGGATCTGAATTATTAGAGCTAGGGCCTGTGTTGTTTATTCTGGTCTTGTAAGGAAAAATATTTTCAAAGTAATGTGCATCCCTAGCTTCAATTATGGTGTTGTTGGCTATCTCATTAATGTCAGAGTTGATTATTAAAAATCTATTTGCATTACTATCAGAAGCATAGCCAATAAAAATTCCATCTACAGTTTTAGGGCCAATCTTCTTTCTTTTATTCTCAGGTATTTTGACTTTTGCTAAGCACCCCCACACTTTTAGGTGATCTAAATTAGGGTTTCTATTCTTCCAAATTGTGTAAGGGGTTTTATCAGATTTCTTGAATGGAATTCTATTTAGTATATGACATGCAGTCATGAGAGCTTCTCCCCATAAATTTTCTGGCACACCAGAATTAATTAACATTGAGTTTACCATGTCCATTAGTGTTCTATTCTTTCTCTCAGCTACTCCATTAGATTGAGGTGTATATGGAGCAGTTATTTCATGAATAATTCCATTATCTTCACAGAATTGTTTTAATTCATTAGAAGTGTACTCACCACCTCTATCTGATCTTAGTATTTTAATTTTCCTATCCAACTGATTTTCAACTTCTGCTTTATATATTTTAAATTTGTTTATGACTTCATCTTTAGTCTTAATTAAGTAGAGGTAACAATATTTAGAGCAATCGTCTATAAAAGTTACAAAATATTTGTTACCCCCTCTAGTTGTTCTTCCTGAATCACAAACATCACTATGGATGAGTTCTAATATCTCAGAATCTCTATCAATAGTTTTAAATGGTTTCTTAGGAAGTTTGGCTTCTACACATATTTCACATTTTTCATCATCTTTTATATTAAGCTTTGGAATTATATTGAGATGCATCAATCTTTTAATTGAATTATAATTCACATGTCCTAATCTTTGATGCCAAGTGATGGAAGGTTCAATATTCAAAGCTATTGGAGATGCAAGAGTAGAATTCTTAACATTCAATTTAAAAAGACCATCACATAAGAAACCTTTTCCAATGAAGTTCAAACCCTTAGTTATTACAACTTTATTTGATTCAAAAACAAGTTTGTAGCCTTGTTGCACTAATAAAGATCCGCTAATTAAATTTCTCCTAATGTCTGGTACATGATGGACATCCTGCAGGATCAAAGTCTTATCAGAAGTCAGCTTTAGGTTGATCCGACCTATTCCGGATACAGGAGCCACATTATTATTTCCCATTGTCACAGTTCCTCTACTTG